CTTGGGCCAAGGGGCTGGGACCAGCCCAGCCCACGCGGAGCCACCCCTCACCCTCCGCAGCTTGGGCTTTCCCAGGACAGAGGCCGCCAGGGCCTGTTCACCAGACCCCCCATGCACGCCCCCTTCGCCAGCCTGCTCTTCCCTGCAGGCTTGGGCTCCCCTGCTCCACCGGTGCCCCTCATTCCCAACCAGCAGCCCTCTGCCCCCCGCCCAGCTCTGCCGGTGCCCCTCGCTCCTGACCCCAACGATGTCCATGCTTTGTACTGGAGACAGCCCTTGGGCTGGGCTGGGCTGGGCTGGGCTAGTGTCCAGAGCGGCTGCTGGCACTGGCACGGGGCAGAGGCTGGAGCCCAGCAAACAGACCCAGGAGTCCAGGGCTTCGGCCGCCCCTGCCTCTGGCTCTGGGGGAGCGCTGCTGGCTCTCAGCCCCCGCAGGACAGCCCCCCAGACACGCAGCAGGTGCCAGCCGGGACAAGGCGCAGGAAGGGACAGGAGTGACTGCATTTCCCCCCGCCTGCCGTCCTGCTGGCAGCGCATGCAGGGTCGGGGTCATGCCCCACAACAGCCCCACAAGCCCCAACACGGGCCATGGCCACCGACTCGCCTGTGGCACCTTAGCCGGGCTGGGGCATCAAGACCCCTGCCTGGCAGCATCCCCCAGTGCAAGTGCAGGGCCTGCCCCCCCTGCCCGCGATGCGACCCCACTGCCCATGCCAGGGGTCGGGTGTGAGGGCCGGGCACGGCTGCAGGAGCCGGGCTGTGCGCATGCCGTCCCGGCTGCCCGGGAGATTTACGGCCCAGCTGGGCTTTACTGCACAGAAGATGCTTACGCTGGGGATTTTTCCCCCATCGTTTCTTCATTTGCCATCCCATAAAGAGCGCGGGCTCACAGCGCCGGGCGGGGGATCATTTGCCGCTCTCAGCTCTTACTTAACACAGCCTCGTGGGAGATCCATCATTCGTGCCATGCGCTCAGGAGCAGCTCCTGGGACAGCCTCAGGCTCCCACCCCTGCAGGATCGGGCTCCTGCCCAGTGGGTGCAGGTTGGGGATGGGTCCTGGCGCTGAGCAGCTACAGCCTCGGGGCGACAGAGCCTGCTCCACGCTCCGCCACCCTGCTGCAGGCCGCCCCAGACTCACGCGCCGTCCCAGGGGCCGTGGCCAGGACACAGGAGAGTCCAGGGGCCACGTGCTGCAGCTGGGACATGTCGGAGTCCAGGAGCCCCTGCACCGTGGCTGGGATGCGCTGGAGTCCGCTGCAGGGGGTGAACGGGCCAGGAAAGGAGGCGGGGAAATCCCCTCTTGGCCTGCTGCCCTGGCCAGCCCCAGAGCCTCCAGGCTCACCCCATAGGGCCACCCCTGCCTGGTAGCCCCGTGCCAGCCACGGGTCCTGACATGCAGAATCAAACAGCAGAACCCCCTGGTACAACACAGCAATGACCTGCCCCCTTGGCCGTAGGGTGGGCACCTGCCCCTCTGTGCCCCACACCCCATATCAGGCAACCGCCCCAGGCCCCGAGGACGTGGCACTGTCTGGGAGGCACCCGTTCCATGGAGGACCCCTCGTGTCGCTCGGTGCTGCAGGAGACCTGTGCCCAGCCCCATGGCGCCCAGCCGTGGAGTCCACTTTGCAGGCGGGGGGGCTAGCAAAGCCCCCAGGGCCCAATGGCGCCAGGACAGGCCGAGCTTGCTGCTCGGGGAGGACGAGCGCCCGCGGCAGCCGCAGGAGAGCAGCGGCTCATTTCCACAGTCATTACAGCCCCGGGAGAGGGTCCCATCAGGTATTCCGTCCGCTCAGCACATCGATTTCCCCAGCCGCAGCGGGGACCGGCGCTTACAGGCTCGGGATTGGAGGCAGCTCCACACTCGTGCTTACGCCGCTCGGCAGGGAGCCCCACGGACGCAGGCGGACGGACACACGGACCCCAGCCGGGGTGAGGACAAGCAGGGTGGGGGGGACATGCACACAGAGCAGCACAGGTCAGGGCACATGGAGCACAAGTGTGCATGTGTGCGTGCGATGCTGCAACCCCTCTCAGAGTCCCTTACGCACGCGCACGTGCACATGCTCTCCTGCTTCCCCCAAGGGGGTAGGAGCTTCCCCCACACATGCTTGGCCCTGCAGGCTCCTGCGCGGGGCCCTGTCCAGCTGGACAGCTCAGAGCAAAGCGGGGCAATGCACCAGGACCCCTTGTATGCACCCGGTCCATGGCCGGCACATCCCCAGCCCAGCTCACGAGCCCCGTGGCCAGGGAGGCGCTGGCAGCCTTTGCCCCTGAGCCCCAGCACTGGCCACCCCGGGAGATCTCCCTCCGTGCCAAACTTGGAGGGAAACTCAAACACAGAGATGCAAACTCCAGCAGCAGTTGCCAGCTGGGAGCTGAGCTCAGCCCAGGGCAGCCCCCGGGGCTGAGAGCCGGGCTGCAGCCCCGGGCCGAGTACTCACCACGGCGAAGTCGTGGGCCGAGCAGTTCTCGCCGCTGAAGTTGCAGCTCTTGAGCATGTCGTGCAGCTGGTGTCCGGTGCGGTTGACGATGTCGGCCATGTCGGGGTCGGGGTAGAGCAGGTCGGCGGCCTTGTGGCCGTCGCGGTCCTTGGGCGGCAGCCCCGTCATGTTGGCCAGGTGGAAGATGTCGGCGTCGGTGAGCGCCGAGTGCCGGAAGCGGTTGATGTTGCAGAGGGTGACGGCGGGGAACACCATCTCCCGGATGGCCTCCTCGTCCAGCGCCGTGACGCGCGGGTGCTCCAGGTACAGCAGTGCCGACTTGGCCGCCTGGTACAGGAAGAAGGCCAGCGAGGCCAGGAAGGCCAGTGCCCAGAGGCTCTGCCGCACGCCCAGGCGCCCTGACCCGCAGATGTGGCCGAGGCCGTGCAGGGTGCTGGTGCCGGCGAAGGTGGCCAGGTCGCGGGAGCGCGGGCGCCCGGGCTCCTCCAGCAGGCTCTCCCGGTCGCCTTCCTCCTCCTCCTTCTGCTTCTCATCCTCCTCGGCAAATTTGATTTTGCAAACGATCTCGATCGGCATCTGCCCGGCGCGGGCGGCGCGCCCCGCCAGCGG